ATAGTGAGTACAGAATAAATAGTAAGTAAGTATTTTTTGCAAAAGCCGACCTACTTTAGTAAACACCGTTGTCAGTTTCTGAATCTGTTTCCGAATGTTTTCATTTCCGATTCTTTTAACTTCTAATCTGAAAGGTAAAATACCTAAGTGCCTACGTGCATATAATTTTTACTGCAAATAATATTTATGTTACATACTTACCTATATATTAATTTTAGTTTCCAAGTAAGATCGTTTTGCATCATAAATAGACAGGTACAAAGTACAGTAACACAGCACTACCTTTTGATAGAGTCTCACGTGTTCTATCCTAGCATATCGTATTTCAAAACTTTGTTTCAAATAATTAAACAGAGAAGATTTATAGAGATTGTTTAATAAAGCTTTACCTAATGGAGGTTTAGATCATTTTCGAACTCTGCGATTAAACCTACAGAATGATTTAGATGTTTTAATATAAATACTTTTATAATACTTTCAGCTTAGAATTACGTACCAATAAGACGGAAGCTTTAATTACTCAAATCTACATATTAATACATACAAATTTTATTTTGCATACTTCGTAATAACAGTATTGAATGATCATAATAACATATACTTATATTTTTTTTTTACATTGCTTTACACTTTCATAACATTTAAAGATTAAGTCATCTTTCATTAACATCCTGTATAACTAAAATGAAACAACATTTTATGTAGCAGATAGTTTTAACAGCGAAGATGTTTGTGCATAATAATGCAACGGATTCAATTGCAACTTGTAATACGACACGAATCATGTGAAGGCTGATGCAATCATCTTGCTTTCATAAAATTCATATGCCTTTATAAAGTGTGAATTGTAACACAAAACAAAATGGACAGACGATAAGAATATACTTCTTAGAAATGAGTATATTTAATATGATATGACATGAGTAGGTAGAGTATGGATACCTCTACAAAGATGAGTATAAGTATTTCTATGAGACAAAAATCTACATGTAAGTTTAGGATGTGCTACTTACACATATAATACTAACGGATAGAGACAAATAAGTAAAAACTATAAAGACTACAAGAAAATGAGTTGGCAAAAGGTTTCTTGTATATTTTGAAGGAATAGGAAATGTATTAATATCTTTTTATACCAACATGAGTATAATTAGTTACATTTTCTAGGAAGATGTTTTGTTTTAAGTAGGCTTAGCAATTTTAGCCGTTTGGAAAGGTAATCGGGGTGTTTGTAAGTTTGGTTGAGTTTACGTTTAGAAAGGTTTATTATTTATTGTGATTGATAATATTTCGGTTAAAAGATTTTGCCTCGTTAATGGACTGATCACCCATGAAACTAGCAATAGTGTTTGAACCAAAATATTTGGTCGGTGTGTATTACTGAAGGTTATAGAGGTGGATATGAAAGGAAATAAAAAATGATTTTTAGAAAAAAAAATGGTACAATAGGGCAGGTCCTTCAAAACATTATGCGAACGAGCTTCCTTAGTGTAATTTGTTGGAGATCTTAAAGTAGTCTTAATTCATGACCCTATATTATGGTACATTGAGGGTCAGGTCCTTCAGTTTGATCATTGATGTAAGCGAGTCCTTGTCAGTGAAAACAGTTGGAGTTGTATGAAAGCTTAAATCATGGCCCCAATTAATAAAGGGTGTGCGCACAACCCATATTAGGCACTAGTATGCCAATATAATAATATTATAAAAAGTAAAGTCGACAAATAAATGTAAAAAAAGTACCATAAATAAAGAAATATAAAAGTAGTAAAGAGACCGGTCGCGATATGTTACTAATAAGTAAATAAAAAAGTATATGCTTTTAAATAAGATTATGACGGTACCGTGAGATAGGATCCTAAAGGCTTACGAAGTAATCATGCCAATACGTACGTATATATAAACTGGAAAAGGAAAATAGCTAGCTACAATGACAAAAAAAAGTATGAAAAAGCACGTGACGACGTGACCTTTTCTTCATGATGATGACTGATGGTGAGTATTTTTATGCTGATGCATAATATCTTGGATGTGACAGTTACAACTTTAAGACAAATTAATTTAACTCTTTAATTGACTTATGTTCTGTATGACACCTTAGAAAATTTTGGTTTTGTTGTCATGTACATTACAGTTAAGTATAAAAAAAAAACACTTTTATTTGAGCATCGAGGTGTGCAATTATGTATTTCAAGTTCATGGACGTTATGATTTCAGTATGCTTTTCTTTTTCATTCAAATTGTGATTAAGTATCTTAATTAATGAAGCAAAATTGTATACAATAAAGGTTCTTGGTACTTATAGCATTATTAAGTAAGTAAACTTTAGATAAGGCTGTAAGTGGATTAATTAATTTCAGTTAAAACATATTTTTTAGAAAATAAGTATAGTACTCTGTTCAGGTATCAATCATAAATCAAACAAATATTTTTTTTTGTTTAACTTTTTTTATATAATCCAGACCACTTTAATTTTAAGTATCATTAGCATTGGGCCCATGTTTAAGATTAATTAAACTACTTGAGGTTTTAGTTTACCTATGGTTTCATTTCTTATTTTTAAACTACTTTTTATATATTGTATCCTCTTTTACAGTGAGATGTAATCTTGACATGAAACTTTGAAACAACTTGAAAAATTACTATTAGGTATGTACCAATGTAAATTTTTAGACAGTTTTAAATATGTATCTAGAAAATCAAGGCAGTTACTATTAAAATATTGTATAAACTTTGGTAACACTAAAAAACTTTAATTTTGATGAATATTGATTTGAAAAATAGTATTGCAGTATTGATGTCAATATCAACTAGGAAACTATTGCAATGTATTTTTGTTTGTAATCCAAAGTACTTTATTCAAATATTTGTTTTGGTCTTAATATAAAATTTGTTCTTATTATGTTTCATTGTCAATTTGCACTTCTTATTTACTGGTATAGTTATTTATGTATAACGTGTTTTATTCAAAAGTTTTAACAATTTGTTAATAGTCTGTACATGTAAAAGCAGCGTTAGTTTTGCATTTTAATATACCTACCTAGATATTTAAAAATATACTTACATTTTAATTTCAACTAATTGTTTCAAGTTACGAAAAAGAAATGTCTGCAGAAGAATTCTTCATCATAATTCTAATTAATGTCTGGTTAATTTCATTAAACAGAATTTCTGTAATCACATGATAATTACTATATCTACGTGTTTTGTTCGTTTTGGTTAAAACATAATAATATAATTGTAAAAAAAAAAATGAATTTCTCTTAAAGTTATTGGTTATACTTATCACATTCCTATATAAATTTCGTGTAATTTTATAATACTGGGAAGGCGGTGTCTACATACACTACAGGGGTTCATTTATTTTAAATTTAATATTATTTAGAAGATAAAATATTTAATCCTCTTTTTCAGACCATTTCCAACATAATCCTGACCGTATCATATATTTTACGTACGCACCGTCTTTCTCTACCGAGATTATCTGTCCAGGCCACATTTCTCCTTCATACTCAACCACGACATAATTGTACTTTGGAGAGAGAGCATTTGGTGGCAAAGATATATCTGCTTGATCTGTTTCTTCGTCTTCCTTAATAAATAGGCCTTCAAATACGGAAGTGTCAATGGTTTCGACTGGCTATATAAGAAGCTTTTAAATTTGGTCCACAAAAAAATTTGGACCATCGTTGAAATCAAAGTACCGAAAATGATTATCAACCCCTTCATTCTTAAACTAATCCGTATTTCAAAAAAATATTTATCGCAAAGTAGTCATTATTAAATTACCTTTAACTAAAAACATCCACTGGTTTCAACTCAAACTCTAAAAATAAAAGTTCAAGTTTCAGATAAAAGTTTGGCGGCAAAAAAGAACGTGCTCGTTCTTGTGTGATTACACGGCCGAGTAGTCATTCTGAGTGGTGTCGCCATCAAGCGTTAAATGCGTGAACTAAGACCTCTATGCTCTTATTTTATAATAGTACAAAGTTATTCACCTATACGGCAACACTTTGTCTTTTACAACTTCGTCAAGTGACAGATCCGTTTGGACCATAGTTGTATGACAGGACAGGACCATACTTGCATGATTTTACTCGGTACTTAAGGTGCGAATGACTCTCAAACTTTTGACAGATTATATGGTATAGGCCGTTTTTAAAGCCGTTTACGCTCTGCCTACTTCGCAAGCGATACAAGCGTTATATATGTTTGTTTGTAGGTACATATGTTTTATTGCTTAAAAAAAATTAGGCGTTAAATAATTTTGTTCACTTTTCTATGGTCGAAATAGTGAATGCATTGCATCCCTTTTGGGGTAGGCAGAGCGTAATCGGCTGTAACAAAAGTTTGAGAGCCATTCAGAGGACTGTGTACCACCATAGGGACAGGTTGTCAGCCTGTCGCTTAAAATTGCAATACACATCAACCCTCCAATCTCTTAGTCGCTTCTTACGAAACCACGGGAAAAATATGGGGTGATGCTATTCTAAGCCGGCAACACACGTCATTTACCCACAACTTATCGATGTATTACAAAAATTGGGCCTCAAATAGACAGTTATTCTGTAAAGTATTGTCAATTCTACTTTGGAGAATTGTTCAGATATCTTCAACTCTTTTATCTCTGCTTACAGGACGCTTGCCAAGCAAGAGGGGCGGCCATAGGACAGGCCACGCCCATAGCGCACACAGGTAATAAATTATGCGAATTTCACACACACACGTGTATACAATTTGTAAACTCTATTATTTATTAAGAAAATGTAAGATTTTAAGATTGCATTGCTGGAATATGTCCATAAAGAAAATGTAAAATTTTAAGATTGCATTGCTGAGATATATCCATATCTAATCCTTGTCGTTCTTTAGAAGATTTTTCTGAAATTAATAATTTGAAGATACCGAAAAATACATGCATAGTCACATGTAAAAATCGAGTACAGGCCTCTTCTGTTTAAGGTTACAAAGAGAAAAAATCGTTATAAATTGAAAAATTCATTAGCGGCTGCTGAGACTTGAACCCGGGACCGTGGGGTACCGTCCCACCGCTCTGCCAACTGAGCTACGGGCGCCTAGCGGACCCTGATGAATCTTTCAACCTCTTGATGCTCGCCTCAAAGCGACGATTAAGCGATATCTAGTAGTAGTTTTTAAAACTAAACGGGACGGTACCCCACGGTCCCGGGATAAAGTCCCGGCGGTCACCAATGAATTTTTGCAATATCCCCATTTTCAATTTATGTGAATGATATAGCACTGTGAATGATTTTAATGCACTCAGCATTAAAAATCCCAATACATTGAAAAAATTGTCAATGCAGTGATTTACACACATTAGCTCAAAAGAGCAGCTAGTGTATTAATGAATAATAAAAATTATTATTAACTAGCTGCCCGTCAGCGGTTTCACCCGCTGCAACCTATTATTCCGCGGGAAAAAGCATTACTCGCCAATAGATGTCGCTGTTAGTTTTCGGCGAAAACATTTAAAACGCGAATCGGCTCAGTCACGCCACCTTTGCAAAAATATTGTAATATGCGTGATCCCATAGGAATAAGACAATTTCCCGTGGTAAAAAGTAGCCTATGTGTTATTCTAGATACTCTTCTATATTTGTGCAAAATTTCATGTCAATCTAATCAGCCGTTTTAGCGTGATGTCGTAACAAACACACACACAAACATCCGCCTTTATAATATTAGTAGGATCAGGGTTCGAAAATATCGGATATTTATAATAAATATCAAAATATCCGATATATATCAAATAAATCGGATATATATCCATTTTTTGATATTTATCGGATATATATATCAATCAGTATGAAAACTTTTTATTTATTGAATTAATTATGTTGTACAGTTCCTTCAATTTGACCAAAATTTTAAAATTTAGCACTATAATAATATTAGTTTATTTTTGAATGATGATGTGAGAGAAAAATCTGTCTTTTATTGACAGACAGTAAAGCGAAAAGGTAACGCGGGTGGGTATATGCATAAATTTAGTAAGTAATTCATAATTCATAAATCTTTATTGCATAAAACATGGTGGGTTAAAGGTGTTACATTCACAATAAGACGGAGAGTACAAACATGTTTTGCCAATTCTGTGGATTAGCATGCAAATATTTTAACACAAAATACAACACGATAAATATAAAGAAACAAGAAATAAAATGTCAAAATTAATTAATGATTATTAAAGAATGTCAAACAAATTAAACAAAAAACAAAAAAACAAACAAATTAAATTATATTATATTATACTATTTGATCATTATATATATCATCTAACCTACCCTAACAATATTATTTACAGATTTCTTATGTCATATAAATTTTTGTCTAGTAACCATTTACGAAGATGAAATTTGAAAGAATCAATTGTCATTGATTTAAAATTATTTGGTAATTTGTTATAAATTCTGATACACATTGCTAAACAACTCTTATCGAATTTCATAATTTTAGGCGTGTCATGGAACACTAACCTATGTGGATACCTCCTGGCCCGAGGGTTTAACAAAAAGCTTTAACAAAAAGATTATTGTGTTTCTTTATGAATACACAGACTTCATATACATACACAAGGCTGGTAGTGGAAGCAGTCCTAATTTTACGAAATGTTGTTTACATGACTCATCTGGAGCAATTTTACAAATTGCTCGAATGCATTTTTTCTGGACAAAGCCTTATCCTTATTGGTGCTATTCCCCCAAAAAATTAATCCGCTCAACTAAGTCAGGCGCTTAACTAATTAAACCATCCATCAATGAACTTGTGTTTTATGTAAATAAATATAAATAGGTACCAAACATTGAAAAGTAAATATTTACTGAATGTACCTCATGCAGGAAGAAAGTACAGAGAAATTTACATCCACCCATTTGTTACAATAAAGTTACAGGGTTTAAAAATACAACTAACTTGGCATTCATTAGTATTAGTAACGAAGTAGTGACTTTTTTTAGTCAATTTAACCATAAAAGTTCATTATTCCTTTCCAAAAAATGACGATATATATCCAAAAAATAAATATCATCATATCACGCGATATATATCAATGATACATATATCACTTGATATGTATTAAGAAGAAAATATCATGATATATATCCGATAAATATCAATGATATATATCAAGTGATATATATCTTCGAACCCTGAGTAGGATTATCTTTAAATTTTCAGAGGACGGCTTGGGCGGTTGGGAAGTGTGGTACGCGGGCGAGCCGGAGCGGGTTCACACAATTTCAGCCACCAGGCACGCTTTCACACAACAACACACGATAAGAATACCACCAGGCGAGTATCTCGAGCCTCGGAAAGCACGTTAAACATGAGTTATTCCGTCGGATCATTTTGTGTGGGAGGTGCCATAATAATTTTATTTTAAGATCGTTTTTCCATATTATTGTTTTTTACCCGACTGCCTCAAAAGAGGGGTTATGTTTTTCGCGAGTATGTGTACACAAGAAAATTGTTTTCACGGGCTACAGCCCACACGGCTGTGTGGATCTTAACATATGAGGTGTCGTTAGATTCGTCTCAGCAGCGCGAGTTACACACACTATATTAAAATTCATAAATTCAATATGGCGGATTTTTATCGCAAAATAAAACTTTGTAGTTACCGCAGTCAAGTTTTTGATTTGAATATATCTGCTCGTTTTCTTTTCGTCATATAAATTCGATGTATATTTTACACAGATCGTTCAGAGCCTGTGACCGTAACGGCAATGTGTAAAGTGGGCAACAATATGTGGCTCGGCGACTCGGCAGGCAGACTCTCGGTCTACAAGTGAGTATGATTACGATTGATGGTATACTATTACTTTCTAAGCTATTTTATTCCTGCAGCCCAGTCAGTTGGTAGAGGCGTCGGTCGCTAGCTCAGATGGCGGAGGTCGCTGGTTCAATCAGCCTGCAATGAAAATTTTGCAAGTTTTCCTAAACTATTTTTTCCATTATTTCAAGTATTTTATTGTTGGAGTGGGTCGGTTCCTACTAGTGCCCGATGTTACGAAACTACAGGCTACAATTCTACAGGTGAAATTCGATGTACATTGCGTAGCCGGTTTAATAATGGGATAAAAATGGTTAACTATCTATGCAATGTACATCGAATTTCGCCTGTAGAATTGTAGATTGTAGCTTCGTTGCATAGGCCACAGATGGTTCAAATGAGTCGGAAGAAGTATTTGGCAAACGTTACTAACTTTTTAATTTTTAACACCGTTTGCCAAGATTTCCTGTCATTTTAGGACAGGCAGACTTACGTTTATATCTACACTAATATAATAAAGAGGAAAACTTTGTTTTTTTGTTTGTTTGTTTGTTTGTATGTAATCGATAAACTCCGAAACTACTGGACCGATTTCCAAAATTCTTTCACTATTAGAAAGCTACAACATCCCTGAGTAACATAGGCTACTTTTTACCACGGGAAAATTCCTGATTCCTACGGGGAAAACGGTTAGCAGCAGGAAAACGGGGAAATAAAGCAGATATTACCCAAATTAGCCAAACCGCTTTACCGATCCTCGCGAATTTTGGCACTGATATTACTATCATATAAAAGACGGACATGGTCAGCCCTCGAGGATCTGGAGTACCTGATGAAGACCACCAGCATCCCATGTAAACTATAAGAGATACGGTCATGGCTTCATAGAAAAAGTTGTTCACCATGACGGGCCGCTTCTGCTGGCACATGGTCATCGAGGATCTGGAGTACCTGATGTAGACCACAAGCATCCCATCTAAACTATAAGAGATAGGGTAATGGTTTCAAAGTAAAAGTTATTCAGCACGACAGGCTGCTTCTGCTGGCACATGGTCACGAGGGTCTGGAGTACCTGATGTAGACAACCAGCATCTCATCTAAACTGTAAAAGATTCGGTAATGGCTTCAAAGTTAAAGTTATTCAGCATGACGGGCCGCTTCTGCTCGCACATGGTCACGAGGGTCTGGAGTACCTGATGTAGACCACCAGCACCCCATCTAAACTTTATTAGACTCGGTAATGGCTTCAAAGTTAAAGTTATTCAGCATGACGGGCCGCTTCTACTGGCACATGGTCACGAGGGTCTGGAGTGCCTGATGTAGACCACCAGCATCCCATCAAAACTATAAGAGATACGGTAATGGCTTCAAAGTTAAAGTTATTCGCCATGACGGGCCGCCTCTGCTGGCACATGGTCATGATGAGTAACTTCTGCTAGAATGGATTAATGGATTTTTTACTACGGGCAAAGATCCCATTTCTACGGGACAACAGGTAAGTAGCAGCGAGTGAAACCGCTGGGCGGGCCGCTAGTTTAATAATAAAGCGATAAATGATACCAGAGTTTCGTCACAAATTAGGGAAACGGCGCGCGTGGTTTCGTAATCATATCATTTGACGTTTCCTAAAAATTGTTACCGAAGGTCAAAGTTTTTCCAACTTCCACCCAATTCCGGGCAGTGATTCTTCTGATTTTTGCTTAGCACAACTTTTCTGACCTGCTTCCATCCATGCATATCTTGATGTCATGTGACGTAGGTATTTCCTGACCGACGGACTATAATTATATTGTAATGTCTTTTCAGCATATCCACATGCGGCTTAGTATGGTGCGTGCGTTTGTGTGAAGTAGTGGGCGGGGCAGGGGGTGGAGCCAACGGAGGGGGCGTGGCTTCGCTGCTTGCACTACAACAGACACAGCGTGTCGCCGTGGCCTTACAATGTGGCAGGTAAGTTACATGTTCATTTGAAACTGTGTCCATACGGACTACTGGTGCGAATCTGCGAGGCATCGGTCTCATGAGTGTCTTACGACAACTCGGTATGAGTTTCGTCCTCTACGATAAGGTTCTTGTACCCAAGCGGGGCAATCGCTAAACTTTATGTAGCTTAGTTCAGTTTTTACGCTGAACTAGTGAAAGAGAACGAAAGACGAAAAGTACATTTGCAAAATAAGTAGGCAACTGTTTCGATTTCAGTTCATCTCTTCAGGTAAGGAAGTGACCTTACATGTTCATATGTGAACGTCTGTCACTAAGGCTATACACATCTTTCTGAATAAC